TTTTTCTTAGCAAATTCCAAAAACTCCTTCACACCATTCTCATACACAACACTTGTTCGTCTAGCATTTATCTATGATCTATATGTTACTACCTAGAGGACAATAAAACTAATGTGCATCTTATCGTCTTCAAACTATTTCAAAAAATGTAAATTCCTAATTAATCTATGATTTTAATTAATTTAGGGAAAATAATAGATTTAAAAAAATTTTGGTAGAGTATCTCGTAAAAATTAGACCTCCAAAAAAATTTTTACAAGAGAAAATTTTAATTTTACACAAAATAAATAGTCACATGCAACACCTAAGGCCTTATGAAGCCACTAACAGCACTTCCAGCAGCAATTAATATCAAAAAATTTTTGGGATATTTTTTCTAAACATTAGATATCCAACAACAACAACAATTCTACATAAAATAATAATAATAGTAATTCAACAATAATTATTTAAATAATAATTACAAAAGTACCTGAAACAATGGAGCAATGGAATAATGGAGGAGAGTGGATGAGACCACTGTAGGGGCTGAGAGGGTGAGGAAAGGGGGGTAGGGGTGGGGGTTGAGGGAGAGGGGAGGGGGGCGATAGGGTAGGGGGTCTTGGGGGATGAGGGCGAGGGGAGGGGTGACGAGGTGGGGGGTCTTGGGGGGCCAAGGGGGAGGGAGGGGGTGCCGATGGGGGAAGGAAGGGTGATGTGCTTGGGGGGATTGTGAGGGGTGATGAGGGAGAGGGAAGGGGTGATTGTCCAAGGGAAGTGAGAGGGAGGCAATACTGAGATGGAAGCATAAGGGCGACAACAGTAAGGTGTGATAAAGAAGGAATAAGAGGATGAATAATTAAGGGGGAGTAGGGGTGGGTTTTTTATTTCTAAAAAAAAATTTGAATCATTTTTAATAGTTGGTGATACATCACCCGCTATTGAAAGTGCACTTTCGACAACGGATGCCTTAAACCTGTTATTGAAAGTATATTTTTTTTATTTTTTTAAATGGCATTTTAAACAGCCGGTGGCTTCCACCCACTATTGAAAGTGAACTTTCAACAGCACGTAAATGCCATCCGCCATTAAAAGAGCACATTTTTTATTTTTTTTTCAAATGGCACTTTTAACATTGGGTAGATTCCACCCGCTGTTGCAAGTGAACTTTCAACAATGAGTGGCCTCCACCTGTTGTTAAAAGAAGAGTTTTTTTTTTATTTTTTTATATGAAACTTTCAACAGCAGGTGGTTTGCACTTGCTGTTGAAAGTTATTTAAAATTACAAAAATGTTACCACCTCTACTTTCAACAGCAAATGCGTGTTAACCGATGTTAAAAGTTCCTTGTAAAATTCAAATTCTGCACTAGTGTAAATTTATTATGCCAATCCATGAGTGATCTGGTGTAATCCACTCATGATTTAGCTACCCTAAAGTGCATGATAGGATTTAGAAAATTTTGTGGATCCAATTCAAGCCTAGACTAAAATGAATATTGCTTGAATTAGATCATAGAAGTTAGACACCACACTATGAGTTCATTCTATGCTTGAATCAGGCTGATCCATGTGAATCCTAGAGTTGTTATCAATGAGTTATGCAGCATATATAGTGAAAAGCCTTGGATGTTGATGATTCTTTGTGCTGACATTGCCGGTCTCTAACCTAATGGAAGTTGATTGATAATTTAATTGGCTTCACAGCTCGTGTTGCAATTTTTGGCCGTTTTAATGAATCTGGTTAATGTCGATAACACACAATCACTAATTTCTAGTTGAAGCAAAGTTCGGTTAGCCGGAGAGGTTCCAACTTGCTAATCTGAATTTACACTTTGGTTGTGATTAGCCAAAAGAAATTATTCTTGATGGCAGTTAACTCGGTTTTTTCTGGGTCAAGCATCTACTATACATGAGGTCTCATTTTATCTTATATATTGATATCGATTCTTTGTGTATGCATACTGTACTTTTACGAGAGATCATTGCATATACTCAAATTTTTGTATTCTCTTATTCCTTTCGATTCAAAAAATCTAATGCTTTGACCCAGGGTAGTGTACAATTTGTGTCCAAATGTCAATCTAATGTTGTTGATCTTATCCCTTGTCATTGACAGGAGAGAATTCTCGTCTTCTTAATTTTTAACCATTAAATTAAGATTTTAAATAATCTAAATTTGATCTCCTTCAAAATATTTTATTTTATTTTATTTTTACTGTACTTTTAAATTGTCGTTATCAAATTTTAGTAGTTTAAATTTTATTTTTTATATTTTTTATAGTTTACTATTTTAATAATAATTTTATAGGAGATGAAAACTGAATTGTCTAAATCTTGATTTCATGGCCAAAGAAGGAAAAGAAAAGAAGAGGATGGGAAGAAGAGGAGATAATGCATCCCCCTCGTTGACTCTTTTGTGTCCTTTCTTTGGTCTGCAACTGCTCTGACTTGTCTCAATCTTCCAACTACAGTGATAAGCTTTTTGCCAGCAATGCTTGCTGGCTGTCTAGTGGGGCAATACTTAGTTGACCTTGGCTTTGATATTATGAAGGGGCCAAAAGGAAAGGAAAAATTATAAATAAATTTATACATAAATAAATTTTGTAAAATTTAAAAATTATAATCAAGTAATTGAGGATTTAAGTGTAATTTAGGATTGAGTTGCAAATACAAAACTGTGCTTATTAACTTAGATTTTATTTAAAATTGTAATTTTAAAATTTATAAGTAAATCTTTGTAATTCAAAAGTTGAATATCTTTCCTAATATTTGATATAATATGAAATTTTACATAGTTAACTATGTCTACTTAATATTATAATTGGTTTAGTTGGGATATAAAATTTGTAGTTATAGACTTAAATAGACATAATTAACTCCACATATACTTATGATACAGCAAATGTTAAACAAAAAAATTTGACTTTTGAATTATAAATTTTTACTTATAAATTGTGAAGTTATAATTATAAATAAAAATCAAATTAACAAGGATAATATTATTTTTACACCTCAATTTAAAATTACATTCAGATCTTGAAAGACTTTTTTTAAATTTCGTGGGACTTTTTTATAAATAATTTTTTTGTATGGAACCTATTCATAATTTTAAATTTAAATTATTATCTTCACTATTCAAATATACTCTATGTATTTATATATATTATGTTGATATAAAATTATGTGTTAAAATATGTTTCTACCTGCTTTACTTGTTTCAAGTCAATTTTTTTTTCATCTAATTCAATATAATAAAATGTTGAGATTGTTGGGCAAAACAAATAAAGGTTAAGATTCTTTTTTTAATTAAAAAATAATTTGCAAGTCTTTCTAATTCTTCTGAATTTTGAATTGAATCCCTATAATTTATTTTGCTTTAATCAAATCCTTATAATTTATTAATTAAATATATTAAAATTATTGAATTTTTTATTTTAAAAAATAAAATTAAAAAATTTTATATTTTTATTCAAAGATTATATAATTTTAAAATTAATTACATAATTTGTATAACTCAAAATTTATAATTAAGTTATGTTTTCTTAATATCTTTTATATTTACATATATATAGATATATACATATATAAAATTTTCATGAAAACTAATAAAAATGTAAGCATGCTATAAAATCAAATTTCCATTTAATTTTTCTTTTGGCTAAAGGTATTTTGTCAAACTTTTTAAAAATTTTAAATTTGTTCTGAAAAAGTTAATCATTCATTAATATTTTTAAATTAAAGTAAATTTGATACTATAATTTTATATGAGATTTTAAATTATTCCCTTAAATTTATAAAATGTATTTTTAGTTCTTTAATCCTAATACAGTAATGTTGTTAATTTTAAATAATTATTTTTTCCATTATTATTATTTTAAAAAAATTAAATTTAATAAGTAAACAAATTTAAAAGTTTAATATAAAAATTTGTTGTAATGAAACTAATAATATTATGATCAAATGACTAAAATATACTTTATAAAATTAAATGATTAAAATAAAATCTTATATAAAATTAAAAGATTAAAAGTATACTTTAAACATATTTTTAACATTCACTAACTAATATATTTAAGGGATAATGATAAATAGGTTCTAAGAGATCAATTAATTCAAATGAAGTCTCAATTGCCAAACTTCAAGAATTTTTAAATTTAGCTCTCAATTTTATAATTTTATCATAATAAATTTATAATTTATTTTTAAAATTTTAATATAATTGAAGAATAAATAAATTTATTTTTCATATTAAAATTTGGAACACAAGTTAAAAATTTATCATAATAAAATTACTAAATTTGAGAGCTAACCTTGCAAATTTCTAGATCTTGATATTTGAAACTTAATTTAAATTAATTAGGTTTATTAGAACTTATTTGCCATTCTTTCTATATTTAATTGATTAGAGTACGATGGCTAGATTAACGCACAATAAATCAAAGGAACCTAATTAAAAGTCGATGAAAATTAGAATGATCCACATATTAGTTTCATTTTTTATTATTTAGAAAATATTTTTGAAAAAATAAGTATGAGAAAATAAAAAAGAATGATAACAAGAATAAATAAAAAAAATTTAAAAGTACATTCGGTAAATCCAAGAAATTAAATAAAAACCTTGTAAAAATGTTATTTGATACTGGAGAATTTTTCAATAAAATAATCGAATTTCACTCCTCAATAAAATAATTACCTATTTTTTAATTAATTTTAACTTTTTATATTTATTCCTATTAAAAATTATATAATAAATATAAAATTATTATTATTAGGACACTTTTGGAAAAAAACTAATAATTATATTTTAAAAGATTAAAAATATCTTATATTTTTAAACATCTAACCCCTCAAAAAATATTTTATATTTTTGAACGAAGTATTTTGTTATGAAAGAATTTGAATATAAAAAATAATTATATACAAATTAATAAAATAACTTTTATTATTTTTCAGTAAGTAATTTTTGACGTATTCCAATCACCAATATCGCTCCTAAAATTAATTATAATTCCGATAAAATACTTTCTGCGGCTCCATTTCTCTTCGTCGAACAAGCATTCCACACTCTGTCGGACGCCATCCACCGTTGTCAGCGTTTTTCTTGTGCAACCAGTGAAGAAGGTTCGAACCCAAGGGCTTTCTCTACTCTCGAAATCCGGTGAAATTGATTTGTTCAATGTGGCTTTGAATCAAGATTTTAATTTGTTCCCCGTGTCATCTGTTATCTGTTCTTGCTTTGTTTTAAATTTTCATTTTAATTTGCCTTTGAATCTGGTCGTGTAACCGTTTGCATATTGACGCTTTTGAATCTGGGAACATTTACATGTTGAGTTTTTTTTTTTTTTTTTGTACTAGTGTTTGCGTGAATGGTGTGTAATTGACTATTATACTTCTTCCCTTTTCATTTTGATGACTAGCGACTTGTATGATTCGATTGTGGTGTTCTGCAATGTTGGATTTGTTGAGTATTGGCATTCTGTTTGTTAATCTTTTTATATTATTATCAATTTTGGAAAATTGTCAAGTTATTCATGTTGTGTGATCTTGTAAATGAATTGGCTCGAGCTGTATCAAAGCATCTGGAACAAAAAATAAAAGGATATTATATCAACTAGGCATATTTCAAAGATTTCAGTAGGGACAGTTGCCCCACTGAGCGTAGTACAGGTCCACCTATGATTGAACAACAAAGTTAGTTCAAAATTATTCATTTTCCTAGAAAAAACTGGGAATCTGAGTTCCCTGGATTTACTTCTTTCTATTGAATGGCTTATAAGATATAAGAATTATAAAGTAATTTGGCTTATTCAACTCTGTTCAAGATCATAGGTGGTTCTATGGTCCAGCTTAAATCTTTTTTTCCTGTAAAGCTAAGATGTAGCTACTTGCATTTTCATCAACTTTTGTAATAGGAAGCATTATTCAAAGTACTAGACTAAAATGCATTTTTTGTGTGTTTATTATCAACTTTTAATGACATAGCATGTGATTTTTGTTGGCTAGATAGAGTGGTTAAGTTAATTAGGAGGTTATAGTAGATGTATATAAGTAGCCTAACTTATCAAATAGCTTTGTATGATTCCATCACAATCAATACAAGTTTACATTCCTTACCTTTTTTTCTTTTGGGAAATCCTGATGTGGAATGATGAGATGTGAATAGTTTTGTTGTATTGGAGAACTAATAGGAAAAAGTAAGAGTTATATCTATGCTCTATCCCTTTGAAAATAAATTTTTGCTTTTAACTAATATCACTGCATGTTTGTCCTTTCAGAAAATCCGCACATGAGAAAACATATATGTTTCTATCAGTTATGAGTTTTTTTTTTTTAAGTACGAGTTTGAGTTGTAAGGTGATTGATTACATGGTCTCAATCTGTACTAGGCATGGCTTGAAGAATAATGATGTTTTATTGTGTGATAGGTTGCTAGATATATCTTTGTTTGAACAAATATGGTACTATGCTTTCCCTCAACACCAAAGAAATTGGCAATGAGCATTGCTTGTTTTCCCTCTAGCATCATTATATTATCCATGTAGATACACAGGTTGTACTGTTGTAGGGCAGGGGCCTAGTTATTTGATTCCTTTTTGTTTCTTGGTCAGCATTTTTCTTTCAAATGATAACTGTCTCTTGTTGCAAAGGCTTTACATGAAACCGTCCACCCATTAAAAACTTCCTAGTTAGTTTCTAATTTTTCCCCCTCCATGCTTCTAGATGTTGGTTCTTTATGGATTCTCTGGGGAATCATGTCATTCATAGTCTGACTGAAGGATTACAGGTGGTGTTTGTTTTGCTATATGAGCACTAGCAATTGTGTGAACTGTTGCATCAATAATAAGCTTTGAGGCAATGATTTTGTAATGGAGTATTAATTTTTCTTGCTCGATCCTAGCTAGTTGTGCAATTCAATATTCCCAGTTTGAAGGCTCATTTTTGTTTGCAGCTATGGAAATGTTTCTTTGATTCCTGAAGAAAAGAGGCAACTAAGTAATATGTCTACTTTTTGAAGAACAATAGATTTGACACACTTGGTGTGAGAGTCGTTGTATAGAAGCATGAGGTTCCTGAGGATCTTTAATGTCCTAAAGTTACCTATTGGAGTATTAATGATATTGCTGCTGGATCTTGGAAACATTGGCAACTCTGTGGCACATTTGTCATCTTCATCTGAATCCACAATGCATACTAATAATTGGGCTGTCTTAGTCTGCACATCACGCTTCTGGTAAGCCCAGCTTCCACTTTTAATTTATAACATTACAAAATTTTACCTATATCTTGATTTTTTCACTATCAATTTCTAAATCTCTTTTTGTGAGTTATAAAACCCTCTTAAAGTATCATGACATTGTTTTCTTTTCTTGGTTCTTTTGAATTGTTTATTGACCAACTCTGACAACAATAAAGTAGGATAGTTACTTTATTCCAACTGACCTGATTTCAGACATTGTGTTAAAGATATATAGTGTGCCATCTCATTTATGATTGGTCTGTTTATTTGTTTTTATTTCAGTTAGCAACTTTAGTTGTTTACATGGACTTAAATAATTATCAATTATTAAATTAGTTTGAATGTTGCCAAAATCCGGATTATTATCATTATCACTAGAAAAGCAGTCTCATGTTAGAATTTACCATCTTTTTTTGGCTGTATTTCATTCCTACAGTATTTCTAGTGTGCTTTAATATGGACTTCCTTTTTGTTTCAGAGAATATGAACATTTTCAGCAACCTGTATTTTGACTTAGAACAAAATTTATGGTCTAGTGCATGCATCCTTGAAATTGCTTTAGACTAGGCATCATAACAATCCTAGTTGGATGGCATGGTTGGTTTGCTTAATTTGTTGCTTCCCTCATTCAGGTTTAATTATCGACACATGGCCAATACACTATCCTTGTATAGGTAATATCCAATTTAACTTTATTTGTTTTAATTATACTTGGTAATTACCTTTTTTCATTGTCATTTCCTTGTTAATCAGGACAGTTAAGCGGTTAGGAATACCTGATGAGAGGATAATACTCATGTTGGCAGATGACATGGCATGTAATGCTAGAAACAAATACCCTGCCCAAGTTTTTAATAACGAGAATCACAAGCTTAATTTGTATGGGGACAATGTGGAGGTGAGTTTTCTTTATGCATGTCATTTTCCTTATTCAACAGATAATATTCTTAGTGTTGGCTTTGGAAGTGTCTTGTTATGAATCTAAATTATATTAACAAACCATAAGCTCATGAGCCAGTTGTGGATGTGGATTTGAAACTTCTGTATATCAGTAAAAAAAAAAAAAGTGGGAATATATATCTATATATATATATACATGTACATATATGCACCTATATAATACACGAGAACAATGTAATGAGATAGAAGATTATAAAGATTGAAGTTATGGAACCAGTCTAATAGAAAAAGGAAGTAGTGAAGGAAATTCAGCGCTCATAACAATCCCAAATAACTTTTTCTTCTAATGTGTAGCCTTCTCACTGTCCAGAAAGAGATTATTGATAAATTCTGAACTCTCGTTGCTCATAATGAAAATATCTGAGGTCAAGGCCTTTTGTTGACTATGCATCTCGGGAGATCACTACTCTTTGGCGTTAGTCCTATCAATACATGGCTTGAGCAGGGGCTGTTCTGTGTTTTGACTAAATGGCTACGTTTGTAGAAATAACACAAGAAATTGAAGTTTTACTTGCTAATTTGTGCATGAAAGGAGGGAAAGACGTTAATATCTTTATGTTTTGTTACGCACATACTTTTGCTATGAAATTAATTGATAATTAATTTTTCCATGTGAGTATTAATATTTCGGAGGCTTCTTTTGTATGATGAGCAAAGCTTGTGCCTGGTATACGGATATGCCTGCTACTCTACCCTGAATCTTGCATAAGTAGCTTGGCTGACTTTGGGTACTCTCACTGCTATAGCTTGTTACTGATAGCTCATTTCTCTGATAATCATGTAAATTTTCCATTTCTCTCTCTGAGAAATGCATTCAAATTGCATTGATTGACTGAGTTAATATCTGTAATTCTCAGAAGAGGTGCTGCAGTTTCATAAAGGACTATGGTTAACTGTTATGATTTTATAATAATGACATTAGTTTGTTGCATGGCCGTTAATATGTGTGGCTGTTAGTGGCCGTTGGGTATTATTCCTATTCCTATAATACCCTACAACTCAAATTGTAAATTCTATCATTGATGAATGTAAAAGCTTGACTATTCAACATATCCTCTCTTCTGTCTTGCTCTTATTCCTCTTAATTTCTATCTCTCCTACCTTCTCTGTTCTCTCAATTCCTTCTATTCTTTCCTTATCTCTATCTGTCAATATTATTCTCATACATCGTTAACCCAATGAACCTCCTTGTCCAGTTGCATTCACTCATTTTTAGTAACACTTGTTTATATGGAGACTTTCATCTGATATGATCCGAAGGGATAATATTCATCACTTTCAACATGCTTTAGGGCTATATGCAGAGTCTTTCAAAGGATGAACATTTTGCTTCCTAACTTTCAGGTAGATTATCGTGGCTATGAAGTGACAGTGGAAAACTTTTTACGGGTCTTGACAGGTCGTCATGAGGCTGCTGTTCCAAGGTCTAAGCGTCTGCTAAGTGATGAAGGGAGTCACATACTTTTGTATATGACAGGGCATGGAGGTGATGAATTTTTGAAATTTCAGGACTCAGAAGAGCTCCAGAGTCATGATTTAGCTGATGCTGTGAAGCAAATGAAAGAGAAGCGTAGGTATAAAATCTTATTCAATATTAACATTGTGACTTTTAAGTTTGATTTGTGAACTTGATATTTGACATAAAGTTTTAGATTAAGGGCTGTGGTTGTATGCGTTCTTGTATGGCTGGTTGTGATAAGATTCCGGATAGAATTCAGACTTATTCAAGAAGGAAGAAGCAAAAGATAAATTAGGATTAAATTCATTTAATTTAGCATTTTAATTAGTTTGAGATATTTCTTGAGATTTTATTTGGTTATTTAATTCTTTAGATTCAAATTTTATCTAGTTAGATTTTATTTAGTATTTTAGATTTTAGGAAATTTTATTTAATTATTTAGTTATCTAGATTTTATTCATTATCTTAAATAGTTATCTAGATTTTATTTTAGATTGTATTTAGCATTATAAATATGACTAGCAACCTTGAAGCTAGCATATCAGGAAATTAATAAAATAGTCTTTCAAACCTTTTGGAGATTCTCCGGAGCGTGGCTATTGAGAAAAATATAGAACGAGATTCTTGTTCTGTATCATCTTAGTAGATTTATTCTTATTATTTCTTCCGGTTATTGTGAGCACCTATCAGGTTGCATATGCTGTAGTGTTGCCTAGTTTCAAACTTCCAATTAGTGATTCTGCCTATATGTATCCTGAGTTCAATATATAGTTTTTGCCTAGCAAATGTTTTATGGAATAGGCCATCTTTTTAAATAAAAAGTATTGATATTATATTGTGATTAACTTCATATTTAGTAGTTATTGACATCTTGTGACCATCTCTTTATACAGGGCATGGAACTCATTTCTTGTTGGTATGTTGTTTCTTAGGTTTAAGGAGCTGTTGATAATGGTGGACACGTGCCAAGCTTCAACTCTCTTCTCACAGGTCTTAAACTGCTTGCTAGAAGATGGTTTTTAGAAAACTCAAACATGAATTCCCATGAAATGCATTTTTAATATGAAATGGACCTTATTTATTCTCTCATGAAGAGGAGAGTGTACTGTCCTTCGACATATGGATAATAATAGGAATAAGTCAATCAAAGTATTGAATTGAATTGCAAAATTCCTATTTTTGGTTGTTCTACCATAAGATTACTGCATGCCTTCTGTCATTCATGATATGTTCAGTGATGCCTTCATCTGTTTCAATGGGACTTGTAATCATTGGTAAAACAATCAAGGATATTAGGAAGCTTGAATTCGATTACTTCATGGGTGTGACTAATGACTTGATGATGTAGGATATGATATTAAAAAAGTATGACCTTTTTTCTATATTTACACATAAATTATATAGGGTAATTCTCTGTGCCATATTCAATATTAACCCTGCCTGTGTGCGCAATCTTGTAAATGTACCTGCGGCATGTATTTCCTTCTTAAATATCAGCTTATTGCTTGTGTAGTTACTGTCATTCCACTCTTTAAAGTTCCTGACATAAAATTACAGAAGTTGATGGATGGAGATTTACAAACATTCTACACTAGGCAGTTAATTTCTTTGTCATCTCACAAAACCTTTGCACGCTGATTAATCATATATGATATGCTGGCTTGTATTAAGCATATCTGGATCCATTTTGACTGCCATGTTGTGAAGAGCAAAGGATATGAATGTACTTACTAAGTTTTTGTTTGCTTTTACTTTTAAGTTTCCTCTCTCTGTTTATTATTGGCCTGGGCTAACTTGGTGCAACATTTACATCTAAGTATTAAAGTGTATTGGTTGTAGAAAACCAATCTGGCATATAGATATGTCAAGTCTGCAATGTCAAATTGTTTTCTGTCATGTTGAGAAAAAGTTGTCATTTATTTATATTGCTAATTATTTTCTCCGTAGGTTGATTTGTTTTCATTTTCTGAACTTTACAGCTTCATTCACCAGGTGTTTTGGCTATTGGAAGCAGCATGAAAGGAGAGAATTCATATTCACATCACTTGGACCCAGATGTATGTACCCATTTACTAATGTTAGCCATCTGCTGCGTTCATCCCTGTTGTCAATGGCATATAGACATAAACCATAAAACTGCTGTGGCAGCCTCCCCAATAATATATAATCAGAGGAATCATTTTAAAAGAATTTATTAAAAAAATCATAATCACATAATTTTCAAGCTATGTCATCACTTTGCTAAGTAAGTTAAAGCTACTTAACGGCCTTAACTCTTTATGCTTTTGAGTTGAATCAGTACTCAAAATGGTATCTAAGTTGCTATGAACAAATGATAGAAATTTGATCTTTGCTATTCCTCATTCTCTTAATTGAAATGAGTTTTAGTCATTGCCACGAGGCATATTAGCTTGTTCTTTGTTTACTCTTAAATTCCAAAACAGGCTTCCATGTAAGATACGTTAGAGATTATAATAAAACTATTTAGGACCTATTTATTTAAGATTAAAAAATAAGTGATCTTTAGATAGTTTAGAGATTTTATAAAAAAAAATCATTTTGTAGAGATTTTATAAAAAGCAGACATTATTTTATATCTGATTGCAATTATAAAAAGTGATTATTATTTAGTTATTTTTAAATTTTATGATATTTACATGAATTTCTATTTTTTTAAAAATAATTTATTATTCTTTATTTTAAAATTTTATGATATCTTTGTGTATGTCTACATTTTTATGGCATTCTCTCCCATCTATTGCATCATATTATTTTTAAAACCTATTCAAAGCAACTTCTCAAAATTATTAAAAATGTTTTTTTTCTGAAGATTTTTATATTTTCAAAAATTTAAACAATTATGACAATATTTCAAAAAATAGATTTTTCTTCAAAAAATAAGTGATTTTTTCATGGAATAAAGCTTAAACAAACGATCCCTTGTGTGTCTGCACTTCTTAAAGCTGTGTTTGGCTGTCAGTCAGCATACGTCCGAATGCAACTTTTCTCAGATGCAAGAAAAATTTGCATCTGGAAAACATCCGTTTAGAAGGATTTAAATGGATTAAGAAACATGTTAAGCTCTTGAGTTGAATTGGTGGCAACGTTCAACTGAAGCACCAATCGTTGCAAGTAAGAAAATAAAACTTAAATGTCCTGATGTTATTAGCAAGAACTAAGAAAATAATAAGAAAACATCTGAGTATGTAGCAAAAATAGCAGAACAGATGAAAAAGTTAATGAATATAGTGTAGCTAATAAACCAAACAGACTACAGAGGGTGTGAATGAGTGTACAAAAAAAGAAAAGAAAACGATCGTTGTACTAGCAGTCAAGAAACAATCAGAATCATAAGACCAAACTAACAGTTGAAAGGCAGAGGCAAAAACGTGAGGTTTCAAGCAGTTAGCAACTTTCTCTTCACTTGGCAGTTCTGATTGAAAGATGTGGGAAAAAGGAGTTTTGAGGAAGGTAAGAGGATGAGAGTTCCTTGGTTGAGGATTTTGAGCTATTCTGTGATGATTGCAGGTCTCGTAATCTTTTCATGGACCTGTAGTGTTTGAAATCCCTAGTTTTAGTGCTGGCTTTATGAAATGAGTTGTGATGCTGGAGCGTTTCTTCTTTATATTATACTGTTTTATTTTGTCTCGGAAATGACTGAAGGATTCAATCTCCTAACAAATTACTAGCTCATCAATGGAGAAGACAAAAAGTGGGGGAAGATGGGAGCTTATGATAGATATTATACCATCACTATAGTTTGCAAAGATAATAGCTGCCACACCTATACTGTATGGCATGGGAATGATTTATTAAGCCTGACATGTCTTGGAGTTTTAAGGCAGGGTCCCCCATTTTCAGCCTAGCCTTTCTTCCAATGTGGCTACTGTTGACGACATTGACCCTTCCAATGTTTTTGACATAGTTTGAAGCAGTTAGAACATTTCATTTTTGAATTGGGTCTGTGATCTGGACATCTAAAATTGTCTCCTGTTTTATATAATACAGGTTGGTGTTTCGGTTGTGGATCGTTTTACATATTACACTCTAGCCTTCTTCGAGAAGCTAAATATGTATGATAATGCCTCCTTGAGCAGGTAGACCATGAATTTTTTTTTTTTTTTTGGGAAGTGCAAATGCATGACTTCTTTTTCTTGCTATGAAGTGTTTCTGTAGTCTGTTTAATTTTCAAGTCTTGAGTGTTCTCTTATCTTGGAATCTTACTTTCCTAACTTCTTTCATAAGGTGCAGCATTTTTTTTTTCTTTTGGTCTTTTGTAATTTTGATAAAAGGAGAAATCTGTTGAGAGAGATCAATACAGATGAGGAGCATTTTGCATCCTCCAAAATTCCAAATGTTGGGAGACCAAACTGAGGTCTTCCGATCTGTGACATGATATTGTGTTAATTCTGTTGATTACTGTTGTTCAAATCAAATATTTGATTTTTGGTGGTGTTTTATATGTCCAAATGGATTTTTGAGGAAAGTTGAATTCTGTTTTTATGATTTATTAGTATATGGTCTGTGCAAGTGAAAACAATTATTAGGGTAATCGACTCTTATGTGTTGCATTCTTGGTGGATGCACATCTCTTGCCTCTATTAGAAAGATAATTGGCAATAGTTGCTTTGGATCAAGAAAATTGTGTTGCAGTGGGTAGAGCATTCCAGCATCATATTCTTTTGGAAGTTAGATTGTTAACTCAGGGATATTTTGTGTTTATTTTGCAGCCTTTTCAATTCATTTAATCCAAATTTGTTGATGTCAACTGCGTATTATAGAATGGACCTGTATCAACGTAGTTTGGAGGAGGTAATGATTTTATGTTCTTAATTTAATGCGGTAGAACTTTTTTTGTTTTAAATAAATATATTAAAAATTTTATATGGTAAGGAGTTTTGATATTATATTAATTGTTGAGGAATTACCTACATAACTGATTGGATTACCTTACACTATTTTACTTCTCTTGATGCATTATGGGGCGCAAAACTTCAAATAACATCGGCTGTCCGTATTCTGTCTATAGTTTCTATTTAACACATTTTATTTTGTCATTTTAACTCCACTCAGGGCTTTATTGGTTAAATAATCTTTTAAGCAAATATCCAGAAAGAATAGTAAAGCAATGGGAATCTTGTATATCCCAATGGGATATTGGTTGTGGTTGCATGACTGATCTCTTAACAAGGCAGATGCTTGCATGCTATACGTGCCGGCAAAGCACTTGCCAACAAAATTTGTTTGTGTTTATGCTTCTCTCTAGTGGTTATTACTTTGATGTTTAGCAAAAATGAGTATTATTAATCAATCTGTCTGGGCAGAATTCTGAATTGCAAATTTTGTTTCTCCTTGTTAGGTACCTGTCACCAACTTCTTCGGTTCTGTAATGGAAACATTACACGCTGATTCAGCGTACAGATCCCACAAGAGTCTAGATGTTGTAGAAGCTAAAATTAAAATGTTTACAGATCAACCAATGTCTGGGAGCAGCATAAGAATTTTGAGAAACTTGAATAACAAGGATCAAATTATTAGTGACTTGAGCACTGAGGTGACAGTCGTATACCCATTTAGGATTGGTAGGATATTAGTTCCTGCATAGCATTATTCAAGAGAATGGATTTTCTGTGCAGGAAAAGTCGCTGGACAGCTTTGGACAACTCTGGAATTCTATTCTTAGCAAAGTGACCGCAACTGAAAATGTTGATGCATTTGTGCGCCGCGGCCTTCTTTTAATGCTTCCTTTGTTGGTAGTTTCCACATGGCTGTCACGCTAAAGGGCTCATGCTTGCCTTTAATGTTATGGTTACTTGATGTGCAATTTTCCAGGAAAATGATTATAATTGATGGTTTCACAAGAGGATAGAGTTCAGATGTAGCTTCTTTATAGTTTCAATCTCTTGGTTAGTCAGTTTTTGTTGCCTTGTTCATGCTTTGGTGCGACCCTGTTGCTCAGACTTTGCATAGTTTGAATGGTGTTTTTTTTTTTTTTTTTCTAACTGTTTATAAGTGAAATGGAAAAATCAATGGATATACGATCAAAAGATTCACTTAGGCACCCGAATTTCAAACTTTTATGGGCGACGATGTTGATTTTATCTGTTTTTCTTCGACTTGTTTGATGGTCAAGAGGGTAGCAGGTAAACTTCTATTATCTTATATTTTCTAGTGAACGTTTCCTTTTGTGAAGTAAACTTTAGATGAGATTTTAGATGAAATTAAATTACTTTTTGTCCCCTTGATTTTCGAAAGTCTCAATTTTATATTCAAACTATCGTATTTATTTATTTATTAATTTATTTTGGGTAGAAACTGTCGTCTTTTTTTTTTTTTTTTTGGCAAAAACTGATCTAGTGTTGTCCTCAAATCACTGGTACTTTACGTTCCAACAAAAAAAAAAAAAAAAAAAGCACTGGTCCGTTTGGATGAACTTTGGATGTGTAATGATACGAGGACAAACATGGCTTTTTCCAGGATCAAGAGGGACGCAGAGTGTTGCGTTTCGGTCATTTGATAGGGTCCAAACTATTTTGACATTGAAATTGGGAATTGGCTTGCCTCCCCAGCTTTGCAGCATTTGGCAAAAATTATCTTGACAGTTCATGTTTCAGGTTTTAATCTTTATTTTTATTTATATTAATTGAAATAAATTTGAATAAATTTAAGGAGAATTATGTATAGCTCCTATAGAGTAAATTTATTTACAAATAAGGCTCATGAATTTTAAAAGCCATAGCTAGATTTGTTAAAATTTGAATGTAATTTAAAATTAAGATGCAAAGATGGTAATGCTCTTAGTAAAAATACATTATATTTATCAAATAATTTATAATTATCACATTTTTATACAATTATAATTTTAACTTTTTACATTAATTTTTCTGACATATTAACTATTAGATATAAAAAATTACAGTTATAAAAAGTTAAAGTGATAGTTGTAAATTGATAATGAAATAATTGTAAATAATTAGTGTAAAACTTTTTAATAATGTATTATCAGTTTAACTATTAGGTATATAAAATTATAATTGTCAAAATTTGAAGTGATGCTGTGAATTGTTAATGAAGTAATTATAAATTATTTAATTGATATAATATATTTTTAATAAGGGTACTATTATCTTTTGACCCTAATTTTAAATTATACTCAGGTCTCAAAATATTTAGCTATTGTTTCTAAATTTCATGAGATTTATTTGTAAATAAATTATTACACGAGACCAATACGTAATTTTCTCTAAATTTAATTACCAATTTCAATAGTTCAGGTTTAATTTAAATGATCTATATTTATAAAAATTTAATAAATATAATTATTAATTTGGACAATTCAGATTTAATATGGATGATTCAAACCTATAAAAAATTTAATAAATTTGATAAATAGTCTGAACTATTTAGGTTTAATATGTATGCTCCATATTTAATATTCAAAATTTATAAAAATTATAAAAAAATTTAATATTTAATATATATTATTCAAAGTATATTTACATAGTTAATTTATAAAATTTATAAAAAATTTTAATATTAATTTTTAACTATTTATATTAAATTTGGACTATTCAAATTGGCGATCAAATTTATTTAAAAATTTTTATAAAATTTTTATGTTAATAAATATAAAATTAAAAAAATAAAACATGAAATTTGGACTGAGATTTTTCCCAAATACAGTGGAGGTAGGGAGGTGCAAAGGGGGCCAAACCAAGTCCTTGAAATTGTTGACAGTTCAAGTTCAAATGCTTTAGTATTGATCAGTCCAAAAAGGAAAAAAATAAAGAAAAAGAAAATCAATATCAATGTATTAAAGAAAGTTAAATATTCTTTTTAAAAAAAGTTTAGATGAGTTGGATCATGAGAGTTTATCAAGAATAGGATATGCCTCCAGCTCAAAAAACATTTATAGAAGTACTTACTAATTATCCACCAATAAAATCTTGATGCCGATAATAAAATTTAATCTCATAATTTTGTGAGTTATATATTAAATTTTTATCAACTAGACCAATCTTAATAAAAGCTAAAGATTTTCTACCAAAAAGAAAAGCTAAGTAATTGGCCTTGAATTCGGATTGAGTTAGGTTGGACAACATATGTTGCTAGCCCAACAACACTTCTTGGTATATAGATTTTTTTTTATTCAATAGAGAAAGCCATGGACGCAATCAGCAACAAATAACTAATTAATTCATGTCAGAAATCAAGATGTTCTTGCATTTAATGGAGCTTGTTGAGAATTGTGGTCCCCATGTGTTGATTCACTTGTTGCTAATGTGCACACCAAATTATTTGTCTCGAAATGTGGTCCAAGGTGACAGTCTAATTTCTCACTATGGGGACTCTAATCTTCTTATCAGTGCTTATTAAGTATGAGGTTAATTCTTTGACCAGAGGGTGATATACAAGATTCCAATTCAAGACTTCATTTTTTTAAAAGAATACTCCCTTCGATGCTATTTATAAGATACTTTTTAAAAATAATTTTTGATCCAAAATGTAAGACAATTTATAATAATTAAACTACTTTTTCTAATTTTACATTTTCTTGATCAGTATAAGGATGTTTAATGTAGTTATATTATTTTTTAAGGCCAACGATAAAAATAAAAGTACATATTATTTTTTTATAATATAAAAAAAATAATTTTTTTAAATATGTATAAAATAGTTGAAAGCATTTTACAATAAAGACGAGGAGAAAGTAGATACTGAACTTGTAAATATCACACAGATTGGATGTCCATAACAGTCAACTGTTGACATTGTACTCTCTATGTCTTCTAATGCATAACCTCCTCATTGTTAATGTTTGTAAACTAAAAATTATAGATTAAAATATACTTTTAATCTTTTAATTTTACATAAAATTTTAATTTAATTTTTAAATTTTATAAAATATATTTTTAGTCTTTTAATCCTAACATTGTTATTTTTAAATAATTATTTTTATATTAATTATTATTATTTAAAAAATTAAATTTAATATGTCATTATTTGAAAATATTTTGTCAATATTTAAAAGTTTAATAAAAAAATTATTGAAATAAAATTAATAATATTAGGGTTAAAGAATTAAAAAGATACTAAAATTAAGAGACTTAAATAAAATATTATATAAAATTAAAGAATTAAATGTACTTTAACTAAAATTGTAATATTGTTTATTTTTACTAATATAATCTTTGGCAAATCTATTTAATGAATGGGGCCCTATAAATAAGGTTCACGTGTATGGTCTGCTATATTTAAATGAACGAGAAATTCTTCATCACTTTCTCTCATACTTATTTTTTTTTCTTTTTAATTTTGCTAGACTTTTCTGTCTCTCTTACTTTTAATATATATTTTTATATTTTATAACATGTTATCAGCCCAAATCAATAACTAATCGCATCATAAACAATCTCTTCGTAATCAATTATTTTGATTATAATTTCTTTGTTTACAGCAAAAAAAATCAATAACTAATTATTTATTCTGTCTCACTTTATAAGGTACATTTAAAAGGTAATTTAATATTTTAAAATATAAGATACTTTAACAAAAATACAGTTTCATTAGTTATACTTGTTCCAATATTAAACCTATCTTCTTATTATATTTAATTTTTCGTAAATAATGTTATATTAAATAAAGGGTTTTGGTTCCACATGAAGGCCATGCTATAGCTGATTTCATTGCAGTGCTTGCTTTCAAGGAAGTAATTCCAATTAGATGGTGTCCTGCCATCGCCTTCTTTGTTTCTCCTACTAGCTAAGGCTGCGGTGGCCCATTCTGTGTCTTCGAATGTTGTTTCATTTCTCTCTTTGAGGAGTGGCGTTGGCTATTTGCATTTTAGACTTTGTTTGTTCACTGGTTTCCTTTTGTATTTTGGTTTGCTGTTTATTTTTTTCCTTTTCATTTGTTATGCACTTCAGTGCCTTTTTGAGTAATATACCAGCTTTTGGCTAAAATAAAAAAGGTATTTGGAAATTTATATTTATGTTTCTCTATAAGATATATTTATGTCTTTTAAATATAAGATTATAATGCATATTTAAAGGACTTTATTGATATGAATAATTTTATTTAAAAGTATCTTATAAACTGTAATTGAAGAGGTAATAGAAACCTTAAAAAATCTAGATGAATTAAAAAATCACATAGATTTACTCATACAAAAGACAAAGTAATTAACATCACTAAATTAATGGAATTAAATAAGGGACGCCAAGTGACTAAATGATTCGATATATTTTTATAAAATCATCATTTTGACATCTAAAATTGATTATTATTGATATCTAGACAGGGATTTAGAAGGGGGAACATATAATTAATAATGAAACTGATGATAATATCTCGTAGGCCCTCTTTGACGGTTAATTATTTTCATTCAATTTTATTTTATATATTTTATTAGAAAAATAAGGTCAAACATTATTTTGAAAAGGCATTTTTTGAAATTAAGGAAAATATTATTAATAACAAAAAGTACCTAAAGTGAAAATAAAAAGAATGCCAAATCTAAAACACCTTCAATAGAGGAAAGGCGTTTAAGTCTTCTTAGACTAAAATGTAATTTTTGACCTAACTATTTGGGCTGCAAAAAATTTAATTTTGGCCCAAATCCACCAGGATATTTCGAAGAAAGGAAGTTATGAAAATAATTGGTCAAGCAATGCATCACTTTGAAAAGGTGAAAGTGGAGGAAGTTCTAAGAAAAAGTGCAATTACTGGCCCTAAAAAAGAATGGATGTAACATCCTAAATTTATAATATTGAAACTAATTATTAATTATAGGTAAATTAGTATATTAGTAAGCTTCGTACCATCCTTAGTTCTGATTCTATCCTAATTATTCTTAGTTTAAGTCATAGAAAAATTGAATTAAGAAGTTTTAAGAAATTTATTACTTACCCTTTAATAATAAAAAGATTATTGAAAATCGAACTAAAATTTTGCAACTAGTTTGAAAGTTAATGATAAAATTTTAAAATTATAGGCC